CTTCTCTACGTCAATTGAGATAATCATGTGGTTTTTGTTTTTGGTTCTGTTTATGTGGTGAATTACGTTTATAGACTTGCGTATGTTGAACCAGCCTTGCATCCCCGGGATGAATCCTACTTGATCATGGTGAATAAGTTTTTTGATTTGCTGTTGCATTCGGCTTGCCAATATTTTATTGAAGATTTTTGCATCTATGTTCATCATAGATATTGGCCTGAAGTTTTCTTTTCTTGTTGGGTCTCTGCCGGGTTTTGGTATCAGAATGATGTTGGTCTCGTAAAATGATTTGGGAAGTATTCCCTCTTTTTGTATTATTTGAAATAGTTTTAGAAGGAATGGTACCAGCTCCTCCTTGTGTGTCTGGTAGAATTCGGCTGTGAACCCATCTGGACCTGGGCTTTTTTTGTGTGGTAGGCTCTTAATTGCTGCCTCGACTTCTGACCTTGTTATTGGTCTATTTATAGTTTCAGCTTCCTCCTGGTTTAGGCTTGGGAGGATGCAGGAGTCCAGGAATTTATCCATTTCTTCCAGGTTTACTAGTTTATGTGCATAGAGTTGTTTGTAATATTCTCTGATGATGGTTTGAATTTCTGTGGAATCTGTGGTGATTTCCCCTTTATCATTTTTTATTGCATCTATTTGGTTGTTCTCTCTTTTCTTTTTAATCAATCTGGCTAGTGGTCTGTCTATTTTGTTGATCTTTTCAAAAAACCAGCTCTTGGATTTATTGATGTTTTGAAGGGTTTTTCATGTCTCTATCTCCTTCAGTTCAGCTCTGATCTTAGTTATTTCTTGTCTTCTGCTGGGTTTTTGGTTTTTTTGATCTTGCTCCTCTAGCTCATTCAATTTTGATGATAGGCTGTCAATTTTGGATCTCTCCATTTTCCTCATATGGGCATTTATTGCTATATACTTTCCTCTAGAGACTGCTTTAAATGTGTCCCAGAGGTTCTGGCACATTGTGTCTTCGTTCTCATTGGTTTCGAAGAACTTCTTTATTTCTGACTTCATTTCATTGTTTACCCAGTCAACATTCAAGAGCCAGTTGTTCAGTTTCCATGAAGCTGTGCAGTTCTGGGTTGGTTTCTGTATTCTGAGTTCTAACTTGATTGCACTATGGTCTGAGAGGCTGTTTGTTATGATTTCCGTTGTTTCACATTTGATGAGCAGCGTTTTACTTCCAATTATGTGGTCAATTTTAGAGTGGGTGTGATGTGGTGCTGAGAAGAATGTATATTCTGTGGATTTGGTGTGGAGAGTTCTGTAAATGTCTATCAGGTTTGCTTGCTCCAGGTCTGAGTTCAAGCCCTGGATATCCTTGTTGATTTTCTGTCTGGTTGATCTGTCTAATATTGACAGTGGAGTGTTAAAGTCTCCCACTATTATTGTGTGGGAGTCTAAGTCTCTTTGTAAGTCATTAAGAACTTGCCTTATGTATCTGGGTGCTCCTGCATTGGGTCCATATATGTTTAGGATCGTTAGCTCTTCTTGTTTTATCGATCTTTTTACCATTATGTAATGGCCTTCTTTGTCTCTTTTGATCTTTGTTGTTTTAAAGTCTATTTTATCAGAGATGAGAATTGCAACTCCTGCTTTTTTTTGCTCTCCATTTGCTTGGTAAATCTTCCTCCATCCCTTTATTTTGAGCCTTTGTGTATCCTTGCGTGTGAGATTGGTTTCCTGGATACAGCACACCGATGGGTTTTCGATTTTTATCCAATTTGCCAGTCTGTGTCTTTTGATTGGTGCATTTAGTCCATTTACATTTAGGGTTAATATTGTTATGTGTGAATTTGATACTGCCATTTTGATGCTAAGTGGCTGTTTTGCCTGTTAGTTGTGGTAGATTCTTCATTATGTTGATGCTCTTTAGCATTTAGTGTGATTTTGGAATGGCTGGTACTGGTTTTCCTTTCTATGTGTAGTGCCTCTTTTAGGAACTCTTATAAAGCAGGCCTGGTGGTGACAAAATCTCTGAGTACTTGCTTGTTCGCAAAGGATTTTATTTTTCCTTCACTTCTGAAGCTCAGTTTGGCTGGATATGAATTTCTGGGTTGAAAGTTCTTTTCTTTAAGAATGTTGAATATTGGCCCCCACTCTCTTCTGGCTTGTAGTGTTTCTGCCGAGAGATCTGCTGTGAGTCTGATGGGCTTCCCTTTGTGGGTAACTCGACCTTTCTCTCTGGCTGCCCTTAGTATTATCTCCTTTATTTCAACCTTGTTGAATCTTACGATTATGTGCCTTGGGGTTGCTCTTCTTGCAGAATATCTTTGTGGTGTTCTCTGTATTTCCTGCATTTGAGTGTTGGCCTGTCTTGCTAGGTGGGGGAAGTTTTCCTGGATGATGTCCTGAAGAGTATTTTTCAGCTTGGAGTCATTCTCTTCGTCCCCTTTTGGTACACCTATCAAACGTAGGTTAGGTCTTTTCACATAGTCCCACATTTCTTGGAGACTGTTCATTCCTTTTTGTGCTTTTTTCTCTAATCTTGGTTTCTCGTTTAATTTCATTGAGTTGGTCTTCGACTTCAGATATTCCTCCTTCTGCTTGGTCAATTCGGCTATTGAAACTTGTGCATGCTTCGCAAAGTTCTCGTATTGTGTTTTTCAGCTCCTTTAATTCATTCATATTCCTCTCTAAGTTATCCATTCTTGTTACCATTTCCTCATATCTTTTTTTAAGTTCCTTAGTTTCTTTGCATTGATTTAATACATGTTCTTTTAGCTCAGAAAAGTTTCTCATTATCCAACTTCTGAAGTCTAATTCCGTCATTTTGTCACAGTCATTCTCCATCCAGCTTTGTTCCCTTTCTGGTGAGGAGTTTTCGTCCTTTCTAGGAGGCGAGATGTTCTGGTTTCTGGTGTTTTCCTCCTTTTTTCGCTGGGTTTCTTCCCATCTTTGTGGGTTTATCCGCTTGTCGTCTGCGTAGTTGCTGACTTTTCGATGGGGTCTCTGAGTGGACACCCAGATTGTTGATGGTGAAGTATTTCTGTTACTTGGTTTTCCTTCTACCAGCCTAGCCCCTTTGCTGTATGACTGCTGAGGTCCACTCCAGGCCCTGCTTTTCTGGGGTGCACCTCTAGCAGCTGTGGCACAGCGAGGGATGCTACTAGTTTCTTTTTCTGCTCTCTTTGTCCCAGGATGATGCCTGCCAAATGTCAGTCTTTTGGATATAGAGGGGTCAGGGAGCTGCTTGAGGAGACAGTTTGTACTTTATAGCGGTTTAACTGCTGAGCTGTGAGCTGTGTTGTTCATTCAGGGCTGTTAGGCTTCTATGTTTGATTCTGCTGCAACAGAGCTCATTAAAAAAACCCTTTTTTTCTCAAATGCTCTGTGTTGGGGGGTTCGGGCTTTATTTTTCGATGTCCATTGAGGTGTCCTGCCCAGCTAGGAGGCAGACTAGCCACTGTTTTCCTGCCGAGTCTCCGCCCTGCTGTTGTGTGATTCGCCCTGTTCCTGCAGGCTCTGCTGTGGTCTCCGCCACGCCCCGCAGCGGAGTCTCTTCGTTGTAGCATGTTGCCTCGGCAATGGCAGGCTGCGTCAGCAGTGGGCGTGTATCTCAGTAGGGACGGGTTGCCTCGGCAACAGGAGGCTGTGTCAGCAGTGGGCATGTATCTCAGTAGGGATGGGTTGCCTCGGCAATGGCTGGCTGTGTCACCATGGGCGTGTATCTCAGTTGGGGCATGTTGCCTCGGTAGTGGTGGATGCCCCTCTTCCACAGAGCATCTCGGACCGTCTGCTCGGGATAGTTTGAAATCGTGGTTTTGTTCGTCCCACTGGGTACCCCGAACGCTCTGTCCCTGCAATCCCCTGGGCTGGCCTACTGTCCAAGTCTCATTCAGTCTCAAGTCCAGCCCTCTCAAGTCTCAGGTTGCCGGTTCAACAGGGCACACCGGACAAGCGCGCCCTGTGGGGATTGCTGGGTAGGGCCGGCCGCCGCCGCCCCGGCTGCCGGCTTCGCCAGGCAGACTTACTGCCTGGCATCCCGTGTCTCCTTACACTTGGGAGTTTCCCCGTTCTGTGCGCAACAAAGATCAGTCTGGAAATGCAACTCCGACTCACCTCTTTGCGGATTCAACGAGAGCTCCAATCCTGGGTTGTTCTCACAGCGCCATCTTGAGTCCTCTCCACAAATTTTCTTTTCAACCACAGAATTTCTGCTATTAATTGAATCAATTTTTTGAAATAATATTTAAACACTTACCAAATCTCCAATTGTTCTTTTATTAAAGTATCCTGTTACTGTATTATGGAGGTAAAATATTGAATTTCTGACAATATAAATTAAACATATATTTTTAAATTTTATATTTCCCTATTTTCCTGAAAGTTGATTTTTTAATTAGGCTTGTTATCTTTGTTTTCCCCTCTTCATCTGCCTCATATATCCAATAGTAATTCATTGTCCATTCATATAAGTTATAGGATGATCAGTAATAATAATCTGTAATAAATGATCAGTATAGCAAATGAATGAGTTTCCTTATCATTGTTTTGTGCTAATAGGAAATCCCTGGTTTTGGTAAGAGGGTAGGATGTGCCTCAGCAGTGATAAGCTGTGATAAAGTTACCAATATATCACCTTGCTTTTCTTTCTAGCTCTAACATGCTTCATGTATGGCATACAAAAATCATTCATTTATGATTAGAAAGCTGTTCATATGAGTTTTACGTAACCTAGAAACAAAGGACAAATAGAGCTGTTGTTATATGCAGAGCAGAGGACTATTTAAGTTACCCATCAGAACACTATAAAGCACACTCTGGAAGTTTCCTGGGTTATCTTATTAAATCAATATACATTTCTTCAGTAGCCTGTATAATAGGTCTGGTTGTTGATTTGCATGGCTGAATTTAGTTTTGTTGTCGATTTGAACAATATAGCTCTTAATTTATATAAACTCTCCAATGTAACTGTTGAATTTTCTTATTAGATGATATGCTTTATATTTGTTTTTTATTTTTTTTTAGTGATATTTCAAAAAAAAGATGTTGAATCCCATGCTTTCAATCACACATATGGTGAGTGTTAGTAGTTTCAATGCATTTACTTGCAGATTTATAGCCATGGGTCTGAGTTGGCTCAGAAGAGGAAACAAAAAAGATAACAGATAATCAACCAGGTAGACTAAATGCTACCTACCGAGGTGAGAAACATGATATAAATATAGCGAACAGAAGGAGTACTAAAGCCAGCCTGAATATTTGGAACAGATCATAGAAGAATAATGCTTAAATGAGAAAAATGTATAGATTGCAACAGGCAAAGAGGGCTGGGAGAGAGAGGATCTAAAGACAAAAGCCTCAAAAATAATATTTTCTATGGAAAAATGTTATGATAAAAATTCCCTGAAACTACTTTTGTTCACATTTAGTTGCACAATTAGAATAAAATATTCACTGGCCAAGTGAAGAGAGGTTATCAAATTGGCTTCTTGCTACTTTTACTTTCTTCTTCAGTATTCTTCTTAATACTAAAGTATTATCTTTTAAAAACGTATATTAGTGTCCAAGTGATGCCATAAAGCACTTAAAACATTTTAATATCGGGTCCAAATGAGCACAGCTACTACGGTCTTTTGAAAGTCATTTAGCCATATGATAATGAAAAATATCAGCTGATTAATTTTTGTAGTTATGCCTCTCACTTTATAACACTCCAGATGTTCCCTTCTCCTCAATTTAAACACTACACACACTGTAAAGCATAAACATATTTGTTTTCCAATGTGCAATTAAAACTGCCTGAACTCTAGAGACCATAAGCAATATTATTTGACCTTGTATGGGCTGTAGCTACAATATTCACCAACCAAATTACGATAAAACAAATAAGAGGTTAATAAAATTTCTTTGCTTCTTTCAAATTAACAATAAAGTATAATGTTAATCAAATGTTTCTTTCTACTTTTGCTCTCCCATTCCATCTTCCACTTTGCCCTACAATATATATTGTTCTTAAGACTCAATTTTTTCCATATAGTTTTCATTAATATCTCTATCATATATATGTGTGTGTATTTTCATATAATACAATTATTTTCTCTAGTTTTACATTAATGTGTATTTTTTACTAATAATATTACAAGGACTTTGCATGCAAGGATTCGGTTTTGAATAATAATTTCACATATTCTAAAGAGTTTTATTGAGGTATAATTGCACACATTTAAAATGTACAATTGTATGGGTTTTGACATATGTATATGTTCAAGAAACCACTGCCAGAATTATGATAAACATATTTAGCATTCCCAAAAGTTTCTACATGTTTCTTTGTAATACCACGCTCCCACCCTTCTAACCCCCTTTCTCCATTTCCAGATAAAGCATAGATAAGCTTTCTGAAATAGCATTCAATTTTATAGATACACTGCAGGTTGCTTATACATTTATCCACTGATTAACATTTGGGTTGTATTTGTAATTAAGTTGCTATGATCATTTATGTACAAGTTCTAATAAGGACATATGCTTCCACTTATCTTGGGTAAATAAATACCTACTAGCAGAATGGCTAGATTATGTATAAGTACATGCTTAATTTATTAAGAAACTGTACCACTTTTCCTGATGTAGTCATACTATTTTTGTCCCTACTATCAATATATAGAAATTCCAGTTTCTTCCTATCCTTGACAATATTTAGAATCATTAGTCTCCTTAATTTTTGTCAGTCTCATACATGTGTAATGGTATTCCATGGTTTCCATTTTTATTCTCCTAAAGATTATTGATGTTCAGCATGTTTTTCATATGCTTATTAATTGCATATCTTCTTTAGTTAATAATTTGTTTAAACATTTTGCCCATTTGTTTTATATTAGGTTTTTTTTTAAGAGATATAAGTGTTTCATCAGAAATATGACTTGGAAATATATTCTCCCAGTCTATAACTTGTATATTGAATATTTTTACAGTATCCTTCAAAGAAAAAACATTTAAGTTTTTTTTTTTTTTGAGACTGAATCTTGTTCTATCACCCAGGCTGAAGTGCAGTGGCAGGATCTTGGCTCATTGCAACATCCGCCTCCTGTATTCAAGCGATTCTCCTGCTTCAGCCTCCCAAGTAGCTGGGACTAAAGGTAGTCACCACCACGCCCAGCTAATTTTTGTATTTTTAGTAGGGATGGGGGTTTCACCATATTGGCCAGGCTGGTCTTGAAATCCGGACCTCATGATCCACCCACCTAAGCTTCCCAAAGTGCTGGGATTACATGCATAAGCCACCATGCCCAGCCGTATTTTTAATTTTAATAAAGCCCAATTTATCAATTTCTTCTTTCATGGACATTGCTTGTATTACATCTTAAAATACATTTGTATAACCCAAGTTCATCAATGTTTTCTTCAGGTCATATTCTAGAATTTTTATAGCTGTAGATTTTACATTTTGATCCATGATTCACATTGAGTTAATTTTTGTTCATAGTGTGAAATATGGACTTAAGTTTATTCACATATTTTGCATACAGATATCAATTGCTCTAGCTACTAAAATGCCTTTACACATTTTGGTCAAAAATCAATTGACCATGATTAATTATTGCTCTAGCTACTAAAATGCCTTTACACATTTTGGTCAAAAATCAATTGACCATGATTAATTCCACACATTTCAGTGTGAGAATGTTCTTGGAGTCTGTTCCGTTTTCTTTCACTGATCTATTTGTTGGTCCTTATGCCAATTCCACACTGCCTTGATGACTGCAGCATTGCAATAAAGGTTAAAGTCATATAATGTTAGTCCTCCTGTTGGTTTTTTACAAAATTGGCTATTTCAGATCCTTTGTATTTCTATGTGAATTTAAGTGTAAATGTATAAGTAATTTTTAAAGTAAATTAATCAATAAGATTAACTATGCATAATATGCATCTAACACGGCAGGTACACACAAAGTAAAAACTAGATTGTAAACAGTAGGAAGCATAATTTCAAATAATTGCCCCCTAAAAGCATAAAGTATTTGAAATTTCTTCAGTCAGTAAATTAACATAATAAATATATTAAGTTGGTTTCTTGTTTCTAAAATGTATGTATATTTTTTAAAAATGAAGATTTTGTCTACTTCAGAGTTATATCTCAGAGCTGAAAAGAGTGATCGAGTTAATCTTCCTCCTAATACTCAGGGAAGTCAAGATATTTGCATAGAATTAAAACACTACTATCTTTGGTAGGCAAAGTTAGAAGCTATATGGGATGAAACCAATTCAATAATATTTTGCATTATATTCATCTGGCTCACCATACTGCACTCAGTAAAATAGACTATATTCCTGAATAAAGAAATGCACAAGATATTTCTGGTAGTACATTTTGCTTTATACAATAAAATATACCTATATTTGCAGTATTAACCTAAAATGGAAAGATACTGTGTTTTGATCTTCTGCCAAATGTGGATATCTCTTCATCTCCCATATCATACCTTTATGAAGTTTATTTTACCTCAAACTTTGGAAGGATTTTTTAAAATGACTTTTGTTGGACTCTTATCTTACTCTGTGAATTTGGTAAAATCATGTTAGATGTTCCTTTCCATATCTGAAAATTCCAGCTTTAAATATTAAGGTACTTATTAACACCACAAATATTAAAGTCTATAGGGGCTATTGGATATTTGAAATCAGTGGATGAGAAAGATCAGTAGGTATGCTGAGACTAGAAGTATTGCAGTTATTCATAAGTGCATGAGAAAAAGGAAGAAAGAACTTCGTCAAGAGATTAAAATGCTCTTACTTCCTATGTCAAGTTACATGCAAGAAAATATTGTGATGGAGTCCTCTGCAGTAGGAACATTTCCAAACTTGAATGAACCCAATCTATCTATCAGAGAAAAGACTAATTAAAATACACTTTGCTATGGAGATTAAGATACTACGCTCATGAGCCAATGGCTTGTTAACTCTAGAATCCATCTTCAATTCATTTGTACTTTATTAACTTCATAAAAGGCCATTGCTTTATTTATGAAATGATTGACAGATTCTATGAGAAAAAAATGTCATAAAAGTAAGCAACTACTTTAATACTACCTCTCTATGCTACTAGCATTGGTAAGAGAAAAGTAATGTTCATGTCAGCCACCAAACAGTCTTACTCATTAACCCAATAGTGACAGATACTGTCCAACATCCAGAGCCACTCTTCTATAGCTATGCCGTTTTCTGCTAATCCCCTCCAAACAACCTTTAGATCATCCTGTTACAGTGCTTCCCAGATTATTCTCTAGTGTATGATTTCTAGACTTCACTTGTCACATTACTGAGAAGTTTGGCAGTGAGAAATATATTTTTCAGAAGAGCAAGCACAGTTAAAATAAGAAGGTAGCAGAACAACAACAATTCTATCTCTAGAAGTTTGCATTTTTGTTAACTGAGGAAAATAATGTTTTTCTAAAATTGTATTATGATATAAATCTTGCTATGTGGTCATTGATGTGATGTAACAGAAGACTAATAAAAATTACATAAGAATAACATGGTAATATAGGTTGAGGATTGGCTTATATAAAATACTTGAAATCAAAAATATTTTGGGTTTGAGATTTTTGCAGATTTTTATTTTTGCATATATCGAATGAGATATCTTAGCAATGAGATCCAAGTCTAAATGTGAAATTCATTTATGTTTTATATATACACACCTTATTATACACATAGGATGAAGGCAGGTTTTATTTTTACAACATTTTAAACAATATTGTGCATAAAAAATGTTTGTGTAAGTACTGATGTATGGAAGTTTTCACTTGTAGCATCATCTTGGCACTCAAAAAGTTTTAAAAATTGGATCTCAGATTGTGAATTTTTGGATTAAAGTGCTCAATTTGTAAAATATATTATTAATCGCATCGTGTATAACATGTAATAAACAATTTTAATAGCTAAACCACAATGGGTTTTTACTGTAAAAACTGATAAATCAAATGCAAAAAAAATTACGTTTGCATTGTTTTAAATACAACTGCTCTTTTTTTAAAAAAAAATCTTTGTTATTCAGCCATTAAGGAAAGTTTTCA